GTAATTTAGAGATTTCGCTAGCAAAAAATTCCACACCAAATTGGAGTTGAAGGCGACTATATGTTCATTTATTTGTATCTTCCTTCACAAACGCTTTCTTGCGTACAGGTATAGAATGAATCGAAAGAAATGCTCAATTTGCCAAAAAGCTCAAAAGCGTGCTTTAACTCAAGCTTAAGTTATCAGGACCAGAAAAAGGCTGCCTTATCTAAATGCTCATTTCCTGTCCTAAAAAAAATTTTGTCCTGTGGTCTACTTTACTTCTAACAACTTAAAACTCAAAAATTCTATGGACTTTCATGGGCGAAAAAACTAAGAAAATGCTTATTATTTAAGCACTTTCAAAGATGCATTATTACACGATGATGACCGTATTAATAAAAAGTCCCAAAATCTTCACTTGCAACTTGCTTTCTTGCTTATTCATGCGTTATCGTTCCTCTTCCAGAAGCTCAACGAGAAATTTTTTATCTAAAATGAGAATATTTAGCTGGAAAATCAAAAAAGATTTTATGGATTGCCAATTTTGCTTCTTAAATTCTGTGTTTCCCTTGCACACTTACGAGTTCGTTTATATCAGGCGCGTGCCGAAGATCGAATTTCAGCTCCTCGCAAGGTCCGCTTAAAATTTCTCTTTCTAGCTTTTGTTCGTTAAGAAACTTCCTTTAAACTCTACCTTGAGTTCCCCTTCTTCACAGCAGTGACAAATAAAACGTTTTCAGAGTGAATAAGTCCAAAGTTTCTCTTAATTTTACATAAAATACGACCACCACAGTGATTTTGTCAAAAACTTTGCAGGGTTCTTTGTTTGAAAAGCAGTAACCTTGAAGTGAGTTTTTACCTTCTGCAAAGATGCCAAAATGGTCTGCAACCAATCCAGGCTGAACTAGACCATCAAAAATAATACCTTCGCTACAGGACCTTCAATGCACCTGTATCATGTAGAGGAAGACGGCTGCATCAAATTGTTCAACAGCTTTAAATTTAAGACTTTAACTGAGCTACTTCAACGCTCTGTAACAAGTAATAAGTTTAATTCAATAGTTTAACACTAAAATGCCGCTTTAATCCCTTTGTCATTACGCTGGGCCCGTTTTTCGTTAGTGGGTGATGTAATGAATAATTTAGGCATCTCGCATCGGCAATTCTCGAATTCTGATGCAGATTCGATCCCCACACAATTTGTCCAACTGCAACCCCCACAGCTCTTGACCGTTTTCTGTCCTGCCAAAAAAAAAAAAATGTAACCGCAGTGTTTTAACTGTATACATAGAATTTATCAATTCACACTACGAAATGACCAAACAAGTTTTCGGGAAAGAGTTTCTAAAAAAAGTACTACGTACATGTTTGTCAAAAAGACCACCTGTTCCATCAGTGACTTTGCAATGCTTTTTTTAAACATAATTTACTATCACCATAAAGATTTTATCCCCCGTACTGATCGTATGCACCTAATGATGTTGACCATGACAGTGGCCTGTACGAGAAAACTCAACAGAATTGTTACAAGCGAAATCAGCGTAGAAATTTCTTAGCTGTTTTTTATCCCACTATAAGTTCGCCAGATGTCACTTAAAGTGATCGTCCCAGGCATAATCCGTTGCTGAATTAGTGATAGCAAATCATCGCAAGCCTGACTTTTTACTTCATATGTAACAAATATGTCTAACTCATGCTCAACAAACACCAAAAAACCAGCGGGTGTTCAAACCTCAAGTCACAATGATATTTTCTATTTGGAAAAAAAAAAAATATCCAGTAGATTTTTATGGCAACAGATTGAAAAGTAGCACTCCTAGTTGCAACAATATCACTTTCTGGACGAAAAATTTATGCAGCTAACTATAAGGATAGGAAAGGAAAATTGAGGTTGTATGAAAAGCCTGTTGGAAAATCTGCGGCGATTTGAGTTTTTAGAAATGAACTATGAATTTTGTTAATATTTTCCAATAATTTCTCAACATAGGCTTAAATTCTAGAAATTTGCCCGTGTACTATGTCGTATATAATGAGTGGACGAGAAAAAAAAAAAA